TCGTCCTGAGAGCGTAAAATCAGTGGGAATCGAATTGAGTAGAATTTTGGAAGAATATCGATTTTAATGCCGGACGTACGGATAAAGCCGCCTACGATATTCGCTAGGTGAACGACAGTATAATTAGGAAAGTGCCCGAACTCATTGGTCTCAGTATTTGGTGATTCCTCCCTTGTTCAGGAGAACATCCCTCCAACGGATAGGCATTGAGTCGATAAGTTTCTGAACTGTAGGGAGCTCGATTTGACGCCAGCATTCTTTTATGGATTCTTCGGGCTCTTCGGTCGTGTTGTATTGCTTTCCGTTTGCGTAGACTGATCTGGCGAGTATACCCCTGCAGTTCTCAATCAGATTGAGATCGGGACTGAGAGCCGGATGGTCGAGCGAATTCGAGTTTAGAGCATCATCCAGCCGTTCCAGGCAGTTTTTCTCCAGTGGACTTGATTGAAGGCCTTTCCACGCCAGAATGGATGTTTCCCCGCATCAACGTGACTCTTCAATTCAAATTTCCTGAGCTTGTGAGGAAGAACGGAGCTCCTAGGGAGCGCCTTCGTCGGGCTACCCCCATCGCGGGGGATACGGCCGTTATGTGAGCGGAAACTTTGCTGGAAGCTTTGCGGTATGTCGTCGTCGCGGCGCCATCGATCCGCGCTTCGTACTTGGACAACATTTGGGAAGGTTCCTGGAAGTGGTCTTCCACATTCCCACGTCAACATGCCTTCGAGGAGATTCGCGCAAAAGGGAAGTCGCGAAAATCATCGTCGCAGACAACCGTTGAAGAGGAAATTCCGCGGCGACCGATACACGACGCCCAGCACCCTGAAAACGGATTCTCAGACTGCATCGACGTCCCGAGAAAAGCCAAAAGATAAGTTACGCGTTGAACCAGTCGCTGAACCGGATACGTTTTCGTGGAATTTTCCTCTGTATTTGGTGAACTCTCGCGTCCTGTCAAATGCAAGCTCTGCGGAGAAGATGTTTCGTTCGGACAAGTGAAGCGTAGAGGATTGGGATTCAAACTAGAGGTCAGGTGCAGGAATTGTGAACCCGAGCTGATCAACTCTGGACCTCACGTCCGAAATGCCTACCCAGTGAATAGTCGGATCGTTTTCGCGATGAGGTAAATCGGGGTAGGTTATTCAGGCTTGAACATGTTTTGTACCCTTATGGAGCTCCGTCCGTTCCATCAGGAAAACTACGACGGCGCTTGTAGTGATATAGGGAAAGCAGCCGCGAATGTGGCCAAAATTTGCATGGAGAAAGCGTCCCGGGAGGAATTGCAGAGGACAACGGAGGCGAGAGCATTCCAGGATCCGCGAGCCGTCGCTGTTTCAGTCGATTGCGCGTGGGCCAGAAGAGGGTTCTCGTCCTTATTCGGCCCAGTGGCCGTGGTGGGCGAGAGAAGCAACAAAGTCTTGGATGTCACTGTCAAGAGTCTCCATTTCTCGATCTGTCCTCGGTGGAGATCAGATCAGGAGAGCGCAGAATTCGACGATTTGATGGAAGAGCATTCTCCGGAATGCCAGATCAATCACGAAGGCTCAAGTGGTTCGATGGAGTCGAGGGGTGCCGTCGAGCTCTTCCAGAGATCGCTCGAAACGCGAGGCCTGATTCACAAGCACTACATAGGCGACGGAAATTCCGCTGAGACGGTCATAGCTCGAATTATCGACATGAACAAGCGACCGATGCCGAACATGGACTCCGTTATGCTTCGATTGGCAAGACTTGCTGAGAGTGAGAGCGCTAAGAAGTAAAGACCTGGGTTTTGTCGATTTCCTCGGAGTACCGATATTGAGGCGGACCGCGACGCTCCTCGCTGTCATGTGGTGCACGAATTCCCTCAGGTTACTCTATTTAGCACTGAACGCACATCGACTGCCTGGGAACCCCCATGAGAATTTCACGATTTCCGCTTTTGCCGAATTCCCCGCGTCGCTATCTGGGATGATCCTCATGCGGAAGTGCCGTCGAAGACTCGCTCAATCTGGATGTACGGTTCTCGCCGCCGCTCTGTTCGCAATTGTGTTCTCTGTCAGTGACAGCAATCAGTTTATGAAGGTCTGGGGGAGTATGGTAGCACGGAGTTTCCTGAATATGTTCATCCTCCTGCAATGGGTTCAGGTCCATGAAGTGTTCCCGACTCCTGCCAGAGGAGCCGGATTCGCTCTCGCGATGATGAGCTCCCGCGTTGGGGCAGGATTCGCTCCTTTCATCAAGAACCTCGCAGATGCCACCTTCAAGAGCCTGCCGTTTTATTTGTTCGT